GGCTGTGACAAAAAAAAAGAAAAAAATTCCCCTAAATGACCACTTTAGTCAATGATCAATGTCCAACAACTACGTTAAGGCAAGCAGAGCCAACCACATGTTTTCATAATCTTAGATATCGAAGAAAAAAAAAAAAGTGGTTCTCATAGAAGTAGAGAGTAGAGGCCAGGAGATGGGTGGGGGCAGGGGGTGGGAAGAGGTAGATTAACAGGTACAGTTACAGGTAGAGAGAAAGAAAAAGTTCTGGTGTTCTAGGCTAACTAGAACTAATAAAATTACACTGTATATTTCTAAACAGTTAGAAAAGAGGACCTTGACCATAATCACCACAAAGAAAACTGTTTAGATGATGGATGTGCTATCTACCCTAAGTGAATCCTTGTACAATATATGCATGTATTGAGATAACATACTGCACCCCACGAATATGTACAATTAAAAAAAACAAAACAAAACTTCATGTTTAGGAAAGACTCAGCTCAGGAAAACCATTTATTCTCTCTTAATTGTATATTTAAGCTGCAGCTAGAGGAAGAGGACAAAATGTTGAGCAGGGAGAGAATTTTTTATGTACTGAAATTACTCAGAAAGGTTGTGGAATCTCTCCTCTTGAGATTATTTTTTCTCTTTTTTTGTTCAATAAAGCAATTACATAAATTCTCTTCCTGGTAGGATACTTTAAAAATGTCAAAGAATGGACTCTCTGCCCTTTCTGAATTCCTTTTGGCCTTATGATTTAAAGGCATTTGGAGAATTTGGGCTTACCATATCAACTGGATGAATGGATTAGTTGCTTCATAGAACAGAACAATGACAAATGTTTTGTTGGTGAGTTCTGCATCAAGCATTTGTGGCTTGACAGAGGGTTCATTTCCTCAATGTTCACTTGAAACTTCTACCACAATGGTTCTATTTGTCAGTCTTTGAGGTTATTAAAAGTAACTAAAGTTACCGATAAAATAAACACCAGTCCCTATAACCTAGAAGAAATGCGTCAAGATAGCTTAGGCCAGGTCACCTGGAGTTCGGCTTTCGAAAAGCAAAACAAAATAAAATCATGAATGTTTACTGGATGCAGGGCCACAAGACAAAAATTACCCATTAAGGTGATCCATCCCCAACAACAGGGCTAAGGCAAACAGGGCCAGCCACATCTTTTAAGAGAAGTTCTGGTTTTATAATTTTAGAGGTTGTGCTTTCAAATTCCGAATTAGTCCTTAATACTTAGAAAAATAATATTCTCACTTTAAGAAAAAAATATAGAAGAGAGGCAATTAATTGTTAGTAATTAAAATTTTCCTCTACTCTCAAGAAGCACACAGCTTTTCTGGCAGGAACAGTTAACTTCTTAGGTCAACCAGAAAAAGCACATTCATAAGACTGAACTGCACTGACAACTGCGGGCAGGCATTTTTCTTCGGCTTTAATCAGCCCCTCTAGTGAATGTCAGACACTGACCAGCATATATATAGATCCTGATTAACATTTGCATATAAGCTGTTATAAACTTCCTGCTTGTTATACTTTGCAGATTTAAAAACTTTAATATAGTAATGGCATCACTGAAACTTCATGCTGCACAAGGACTTTATGTACACTCTTATACCTACACCTATACATAAAAGCACTACAGCTCTGTGCAAATATTGACACGTCTGTACAATAAGCTCTGAAGTACATTAGTAGTTTTCTAGAAGAGTCAGGAGTTGAGGGTTTATGTAACTTTTGAACTGGTTTATTGGTAGTGGCCTTGAGTCATGAGGCAGAAAGTGGGAACACTAAGGAAGAAGTTACTCCTACCTGCTCATCAGAACGCACTGAGGACCTATTATCTGTTAAATTCATGGTGGCGCACACTAGGCAAAGGTGTTGAGGATGGACAGACGAGGGGATAAACCCTCTAGCACTGGATGGCAGTGAAAATGCCCAGGTAATCACGGAAGTGGGCCCTCACTGGCTACCGGGTTCTGAGGGGGCCCAGGGAGCAAGAGGAAGGAATTTTGAGAATGGCTGGCTGGCTAACGAGGGTGGGCACAGAAGTCTGGACACTAAAACAAGTTGGGGCAGTATGTTACAGAAGAGATGAGTATGTGCGAGTACAAGGTGGGGTTTTTAGCTTTATAATGTTTTGATGATATAAATATTTTTCCAACATCAGAAATACTGTTGTCAACAGGACTAGAGCACTTTATACTAACGGAGGAGGCCCCATGAACTTGTACTGCCTACTGCCAAGGCCAGAACTCTAAGAAAAAAATGAATCCAGCTGGTAAAGAATTTATTAAAATTAGAACTATCTTCACCTCTATGTTTACCACAAATCATTTTTTAGAATGGTTCATTTTAAGATCTAAAAGTAAAACAGCCATTTCAAAAAAAAAAAAATGACTTTTAATCCCTCCCTATATTTCCAAGCTTCATAGAAAATACATGTATATTATAGAGAGAAACACTTTGGAGCAATCAATAGACTTTTTAAATTGCAGAGTGTTATCAGTGTGCATGGCTTCTCTTGACTTTTAATCCCTCCCTATATTTCCAAGCTTCATAGAAAATACATGTATATTATAGAGAGAAATACTTTGGAGCAATCAATAGACTTTTTAAATTGCAGAGTGTTATCAGTGTGCATGGCTTCTCTTAACGACATTCAAATATAACAACCCTATGTAATTACCAGCCCACATTAATGCAGTTCTCATGGGGTGCCACAAAAAAACCTGCACAATCAACAAGGAGACTGAAGGACAGAGGGGATAGGAACAGAGCCCAGCCAGAAATATGCAATGGAACTTAATCACTGTAATTTAGATTTTGTCACTGAGTCCCAGGTACAAGCTCTTTTATGCACTGTCGAGAGATCTCCACATTAATTGCTGTTCCTGTCTTCTGAGGACACAAACACTCTAATTTGCTATGATTTTAGTTTCTCTAGCTATATGCATTTGGTGGCTAAGCCCCCTTTTCCTCCAGAAAGAGAAGGATGCTAAAGCTCTGATTATCTAACTCACTCTGCCAAAATCAACAGAATGACATCACGAGCACCCCTATTTACCAGAGACTAGAAATGAATGTGACTCAGCCTATCAGTGGGTGGGAAGTCTTGCCACCCTCCCCGAAAGGCCACATTCTTTTCTTCTCTAGTAAGTTTGACTTTCAAAAGAAGAGTTATTTCTAAAGGATGATTTCGATGATTCTGCACGGCCACTTATGAAGCAGAAAATTTAGATAATCCTTTGAGGCCTTCAGGCAGCTCCAGTCAGCACATTTGGATAATGCAAACCCAGGTGCCTATTTTTCAAAGGGCTGTAGATCCCCTGGGACTTGTTAGATAATGGCAGGGTCCCACGTTTTGTGCTTCGGCTTCACGGGCCCATTTCTCTCCAACCTTACTCCACGGTGATGCCATTCTAGACAAGATCTCTATTACTGACTTTCTTCTGCCATCAAATTAGACCACAGCTACATCTTCAGACGGAATATCATTCTGAAAAAAAGGCATCCTCTTTTCAAAAAGAACAATTAAAAACCTAAGAAACAGGAGTGAAGCAAAACCTAGAAACCACAGAGAATTTATTCTAATCTGAAAAATGTTCTAAGTCAATGCACAGTCTGTAGTTATGAGATGGTGGGATGTGCCAAAAACAGCAAGTGAGTGTCATAATTCTATGTCATGTGATTCCATGACTATATTATTATGGCATCAGATGCCCAGCTTTCTGCTCTACTTTTCCAAACACATGCTTTATCCTATTTGAACCAAACATTCTATTTTCTGAACTGTGGAACTACTGGGATGCCTGGCAATCAAGAATACTGACACTACTTCCCCAATTTCATTTTTGCTCAGGGTACATGGGGCTTCCGGACCTATCAGTCATTTTAAAATCTGCGATGTGATAGTGGTAAACAGAAACAAAACTCATGAGATACTTCACGCCACTGGGCCTGAGATTTTAAAAGAAGGGAAGTTCAATCATCTTATAAGTAAGAATATAGACAAAATGAATATTAACTGATCAAGTTAAAGAAATCCAAATTAAGTAGAGATGTCTTTTTTTGCTAAGGTTATCTGGGATTTATTGACAGATTATGTGCCTGGATTTCCATATAGTAAAACTAAATTAAGCTTCTCTACTATTTTTCTTTAGGGAATGATAATAAAAGAGACCCAGAAGACAGCAAGGTTAGATGCTGTCATGTAAGTTGACCAGTGACAACAAAAGTAAAAGGAAAACCACCACTGAGCGTAACAGGCCTAAAAAGACAGCAACAGAGTGCTTCCTTCCTAAAAGGAAGAATCTTGTCATACTTTGGATTTTAGGTACAAATCCAAAGAAGGAAATGAAAAATAGTATTTATTTTGTCTAGTGGAGTGATCTCCAAGGATACAAGGGAATATGTACTTTTCTATTCTGAAAGGTAGATGAAATATGTCTAAGTTTAGCCACATTTTTCTGTTGGACACCTCCCACCCTCAGACATCACTGTCAGGAGCCAATTACTGAAAACAGACTATTATGCAGAAGTGGGGTAAGTGATGTCAGATAGGGAGGCAGTGTAAAGGATGTGCTCAGCTCTGTAGAAAATGCTCTGTTAGTCTTAGAAAAGACCACTTTCTTTAAAATTATGGTCAATATTTTAAAAAATATCTTCAAAAGACTGTCCCAGTCTATATTCTCTATCATTAGCTGAAAGCCAAAATTACAAAATTCCTCTCTAATACTAGTATGCAGTTAGAAAAACTAAAAAAAAAAAACCAAAAATTCCAACTGAACAAAGAATAAATCTGCAAATTTTTCTCAGAGTTTAAAATAATACATTAGGAATGTAGAATTAAAGTACTTTGCTGGCAAATAAAAACCATTAAATCTGTAAAAGAAATTGTCACTGTATGAAAACTCTCCTTTCTGCACACACTACTGAGCACAGTAAGGTGAGGGCGGGGACTGGACTAGGACCAGGCTGGGCATGGAGCAGCAGCATGGCAGGGCGGTTACCTTGTGTGGGAAGCAGCATCATTGATGCTGAAAGTGCTGTTCTCCCTTGTCAGAGGGTTCGGGCCGGCTTGGCTCTTGCTGTGGATATCCAAGCTCAGGGAGGACTCTGCTTTCCGGTCCATGCCGTGGCCATCTGTCTCTAAAGTCCGGTCTGCCATGGAGATCACTTCACTGGAACTATGCCACAGGGGTGCTACCTTCTCCTTGCCTGGCCCTGAGCGAGGCGATGCTGTGGCAGCCCCCAGGGAGGCCGTGCTGCCATGGCTGGGGCCGTAGGAGGTGGTGTCAATACCACTGTCGGCGGAGGTGCCTTGCAGATAGTTATAGCTGTTGAGTTCAGACTCTGTGCGGTCCCCATCATACCACTTCTCGTCACTGTGGGCACTAGATGCGTTGCTGGAGAGGGTATTGCTACTGGAGTGGCTGGAGTAGTGGCTATCAGACTGCAAGGAAAACATGCTTAAGTGCAAGGTTTTGCTTCCTGAACACCAGGAAAAAATGATGGGGAATGGCACTGTGACAAGTGTCTAGATACCGGGTTCTCAAGGCACAAAAGTTCCAGTAATACAAGTCAAAGTAAGATAGGAGGTGTTTGGAAAAACCTCTGTGACTCTGGCCCATTCGGTAGTGTTCATGGCAGAGAGAGTGAAAATGTTTTTTTTTTGGAATTCATTTTTCATTACTTGATTTATGCTAAAATATCAACAGTATTTATTTAGATAATTTTAATCAGAAAAAAATCTAAATTTTTCATTAAAGCCTTTAAAATATTAATATAGAAAGGAAATGACATTTCCAAGGGGCTTTTAATTAGAAAGTGTCCTTGATTCTAAAAGCCCTACTGCTCACAGTAAATGTGAGAGTACTTTGAAAAGTTCATGGAAAGATTCGTGTTATCTCTAAATTCTGTTTTCCCATGAACTTTTATTTTTTACCCTTGTAGAAGGCTGAATATAACTTATCCCTAAAGAGATCTTCTTTTCCTTCCCCAATTAGCATCTATTAGGAGATACCTTTCTAAGAACTGCTGTAAAAAATTTATATATATAGACAGAGGTGCCAAGATATTTCAATGGGGGAAAACGTTAGTCTTATCAACAAAAGGTGCTGGGACAACTGGATACACACATACAAAAAAGAATGTAGGTGGATCCTTACCACATAGAAAAATATATTCAAAAAGGATCAAAGATCTAAATGTAAGAGTTAAAACTATAAAACTCTGGGCCGGCCCGGTGGCGCACTGGATGGTGCGCCGCTTGGGAAGCGCAGCAGCGCTCCCGCCCGAGGGTTCGGATCCCACATACAGACCGGTTCCCACTCACTGGCTGAGCGAGGCGCGGGAGCAACACCGAGGGTTGCAATCCCGTTGCCGGTCCCCGGTCCGGTACGGGGGCAACACTGAGGGTTGCGATCTGTTGCCGGACACGGAAAAAGACAAAAGACAAAAAAAAAAAAACTATAAAACTCTTACCAGAAAATATAGGTGTACATCTCTGTGACCTTGAGCTATACAATGGCTTCTTAGATTTGACACCAAAAGCACCAGAAACAAAAGGAAAAAAATAGGTAAATTTGACTTCATCAAAATTAAAAACTCTGTGCTTCTAATAACCCAATTAAAAAATGGGCAAAAGATTTTTTTCTCCAAAAAAGATATACAAATGTCTAACAAGCACACGAAAAGATGTGCAATATCATTAGTCATTAGAGATGCAAATCAAAACTACAATGAGATACCACACACTAAGATTAGCCACAATCAAAAAGGAAACAGTAATGAGTGTTTGCATTGTTGGGAATGTAAATGGGGTGGCTGCTGCGGGAAAACAGCACTCTTGATATCTACCCCCCCCAAAAATTCCACTCTTGATAGCTACACCAGAGAAATAAAAACACATGTTCACACGAAAACTTGTACATGAATGTTTATAGCAGTCTTACACATAATAGCCAAAAAGTGGAAACAACCAAAATGCCCATTAACTGATAAATGGATTTTAAAAAGGATATATCCATACAATGGAATATTATTCAGCCATGGAAAGGAATGAAATACTGATTCATGATACAACATGGATGAACCTTAAAAACATTATGTTCAGTGAAAAAAGCCAGACACAAAAGGCCACATATTACATGAGTTTATTCATATGAAATGTCAGAATAGGTAAATCCAGAGAAAGAAAGTAGTTTAGTGGTTGTCTAGGTCTTGGAAGGGATGGGAAGGATTCAGGGGTGACTGCTAAAGGATACAGGGTATTTTGGGGGGTGATAAGCATGTTCTGGGATTAGATTGTGGTGCTGGTTGCATAACTCTGTGAATATATTAAAAAAACCCCACTAAATTGTACACTTTAAATGGGTGAATATTAGGGTATGTGAATTATATCTCAATTAAAAAACGTGTACAGAATCCTTTCTACATAGTGGCTCAGATGCTTAGAAAGAACATTTATATAGAATTTACCAAAGAAATAAGATTTTTAAAGACATCTGAATAAAATAATATTTTAAATCAGAGGCAGGCAGGAAGTCGAATTCTTTCTACACAGTAGCTCAGATGCTTAGAAAGAACATTTATATAGAGTTTACCAAAGAAATAAGATTTTTAAAGACATCTGAAAAAATAATATTTTAAATCAGAGGGAGGCAGGAAGTCCAGATACTTTTTGGAGACTAAGAGAAAAGAGGAGAGAAGAAATCGTGTGTGCGTGTGTGATATGTACTTTGATCTGTTGGTGAAAGAAGAGGGATGCTCTTCACTGGTCAAGGGTTAGGGCAGAAGGAGGACAGGTCAGTTTCACCTCAAAGTAAAACATCTGTTTCCCTTAAAAAAGAATTTAGTTACTTACTGGGGTTACTCTAGTTTTTCAAGAACTTATAAAGTACAGTCATAAACTTTCATTTATTTTTAATAGGGCAGAAATTCTTTAACTCTGGACCTATATTATCAAATATGGCAGCCCTGCCATGTGTGGCTACTGAGGGCTTCAAATGGGGCTGGTTTGAATTGAGATGTACTGAGAGTGTAATGTACATAATAGATTTCTACAGAAATACAATGTGAACCACGTACATAATTTAAAATTTTCTGGGCTGGCCCGTGGCTCACTCGGGAGAGTGCAGTGCTGATAACACCAAGGCCACGGGTTCGGATCCCATATAGGGATGGCCAGTTCGCTCACTGGGTGAGCGTGGTGCTGACAACACCAAGCCAGGGGTTAAGATCCCCTTACTGGTCATCTTTAAAAAAAAATAAATAAATAAAATTTTCTAGCAGTTAAATTTTAAAAAGTAAAAAAAGAAAAAGGTGACATTAATTTTAAAAATATATCTAATGCAATCTGTCCAAAATATTATTTACCATGTAATCAATATAAACATTATTAATGAGAGAGGGAAATTCACAGATTGACTGGGGTGATCTATCATTTACATACAAGTAGAATTGTGACAATATTGCATTTCCTCAGTAAATCTCTCTCTACAGGGCAAAGTGTTTTTTCAGCTTCAGTATTCATTACGCTAGAGCAAAACTTATATGGGCCTTCTCATTAAAAGTTCTCTGAGCATCTTACATTTTAGCACATATAAAATACAGTATTTCCTTTCCTATAGAATGACATGAATAGAAATACCCATTCTAGCGAATACACAGACCAAAGAAATCAACTGCATTACTGGGGGGTGGGAGGTATGAAAACCTCATATTTCCAGTTCTACCTGTCAGTGATAAGGGATTGTGTATTACTATGGTAAAAGAACAAAAATGTGTGCAGCCATGGAAGATGTGACAAGCAACAGGGCGATTGCAGAGGAAGCTGTCCCTCTCCTTGACTGATGCTCCAACCACATCTCATGTTTGTAACTGTGTAAGCAAATAAAACCTATTTCTAGGAACGTTTCTAATTCCTAACAGTTTAGGATTGTTTGTGATTGTATCAGATGACCTTTCATGCAAACCCGTGGGGATGGCAGGGGTAGCATACCTATGAGGAATTACAGTTTATCTCAAAGCAACCTTAGGGCCATGGCAGCAGACGCTCCAAGGCCATCAAAGCAAATGCCCACCTTCTGCCAGGGTGACTTCCTCTTTCAGCATGCAGAGGAAAGAGTAGAACAGACCCATACCATTTTCACATTGCAAGGAAGGTACATTATTAGGAATCCATTATTTGTATAAGTTTATAGTTAACTTACATGCCCTTGTTTGTTTGGAGATAAATGAACCACTGGATCCTGCCGCATTAATCTCCCACTGGGGCTCTCTCGGAAAGTTGGCAGTACCTTTGATACTGCTGGGAGATGACACGTTGGCTCTGGAATATAGCATAGGACATTATGGTGCAGGCACTAAACAGACACAAGCACATGTTGACAAATGAAGACGGCTTGCCATTGCATCTTTCAGTTCACTGACCAGCAAACTCTGAATTTCAGCAGTAAGCTTGTTAAGAGTCTACACAATAGACAGCATGTCAAAAACTAAGTGGCTGATGGATAAAGCTTGCAGATGGTGACAACATGTCACATTATACACATTAGCATAGCCAAGAACCACCAAACCAAAGGCCATGAACAAAGCAGCAAAGTTCAGAATCAACTTTTGGTTTGGGGGGAAAGTTTAGAATATAAGGATTAAATTTCTAAAATTCACTCTTTGCAAAGTGTGGCTAACCTAGCTCGGTCTACATTACCTAGACAGGCATGGATGCAATCACATGTTACTTACCATGACACTTTGGAAATATTTTACCTGTATATTCATGCTGCTCGAGGACAAAAGAATTGAAATCCTGAGGTCCTCTATAACTGTAAGCTAAGCACAACAGAAAAGACACACAGCAACTAGTTTACTTAAAACAATTGCTTCCTTTTGGACTCCAAGGTGGTGTTCAAGATGGGCTTCCAAAAGTGAGAGATAAGTGGTTTATCCTCTTTAACCCACCTGTAGCTAACAGCAAGAATTCTGGATTTCTGCAATACCCTTCCTAACGCGTAGAGGATCGGGCAACATACTCCCTGACTCCAACCAGAAAAACACCCAAGGAGATGAGTGAGCCAATTCAGCAAGCTAAATGGCTATCTCCACCGTCAGTAGGGCACTAGTTTATAACCCACTGATGTACAAAGACAGGTGGGCCTGCCTAACAAACAAGACTCTCTTAAACATTCTCAACTGGTGCAAATCATTAGAGAAGGTTGTTCCTATAAACTGAGTGTAGAAAGGATGGCCCCCTATATACTCTTTATCGAGAACTGAGTAATGAAAACATAATAATTATTTTTCTTGAATTCTCTCTTATGTCAACTAAGCCCTAGATTTCATCTGATGTGCCAGTGGAAAGGCTGAGTTATTCTCCTGTAATGCTGGAATATAAAAAAAATCACAAAAATCTATTTTAACATTTTATTTGAAGCTTTGGATTTTGAATGGAGAAAGGCCACCATGTAGACCTCCCATACTGTGGTAAAAAAGGCTTCTCTGACAGGCTCTAGAAGTATCTTATAAAAAAAAAAAAGGCATACCTTACTAAAGGAATGAACAAATGTGTTAAGAAGATGCATCCATATTCATGTAAAAGTCTTACCTCTTAATAGTGGGATGCCACTAACTAAAGTGGAGGCAAGGAAAACTAGACTAGAGGGAGGTTTGTGTGAGAGAATGAATATAGATCTAGGAGGGACCTGGTAATTACCCTTTCCAGTCCCAGGAAACCTTCTCACTCCCTATGTGACTTCACGAGGGGTAAGCATGACACTGCGCTGCACAAAGCTCTCACTGGCAGCACTGTTTAAAGCCTGCTCTAAGAGCCAAAAAAAAGCCACTAAAGCCATGCCGAAGAAGGGATCCCTTTCACATGTGTCGTTACGATCTCAACAGTATCAAAACATATGGGATTAAAAATACTCTGTCAAGAGCGGAAAAGCAGATCAGAATATGCTCAGGTTTTCTGTGTTGGGGGTGGGTGGGATAAGAGTGGGGAATGACAGATGGCTTCAATAACAAGGCACATCTTACTGAAGTTACTGGAACAAAGCATGTCTTCAGAAGCTAAGGATTATACTTTTCTTCCTCAACTCCTGTCTTTTATGTGCACAGTTAGTACATTTTCTTGGGCATAGTCATTAAAACAGGACAAAACAATAAATTTTCAGAGACGATAAAAACTTGGGTCTTTGCCTTAAAAGTTTATCTTTTTTAGTCCTGCGATTTACATCTTTTTATCCCACATTAATGGTAATGCTACCAGAGACAAAATAAAGGAGAAAAAAAAAAGTAACCTAATAGTCTAGATTCAAGTCCTTGATGTTGATATCAAATCCCTACTACTGTGTTGAAGCTACTGCATTGAAACTTAACCTTGTTTCATGGGAAAATTTTATTTTATCAACTAGTGTTACAGTTGTCACTGTAGAACAATAACACATATATAGAGAGAAAGGACTAAGCACCAGAAATCCAAATGAGGGCCCACTAGAACAAATCTTTTCCATCCAGCTGTTTTATACTGCTAAGACATTTTCTTAGCTGATAGCTTAATAGCAGAGTGGAAAGATTTTTGAAGAGCACATAGGGGAGGAAAGAGATTCTAACCAAGCTACAGAAGTGACTAAACAATAATTGTATTTCTGTCCCACTTCATACACAGTTTTTTGGGCTTTTTTACAAATCAACATTAAGAATACCAAGGAATCTCTCCAGGCTCTTATACTAGGCAATAACAAACAAACAAGGGGAGAAGGTACTTAGGACTTGTGAAGTTTGGTAGTCTGGTCTTTTAATCTTGGTGCTGAGAATAATCCCTATGTCCTTTTTATTTTTAAATCTGGGATCACTTAGAATTCCTTGACTTTTCTCTAGGTCTTATTTGTTGCTTTCATTTATACATCATCTAAGAGAATTAATTTGAATTCACATTTATTAACTATGGCTGTCTTTTATAACAGAATGCTTTGTTAACATAACCAAGAGATGGCCACAGTCACCTTGTTGTAAAAGCAACTTGCTTTCTGTAGAAATTAATTACTTACCCATCTGGTCGGCAATGCTATCCTCACTTCTTTGCCAGCTGGGTGTGGATTTTCCACTGCCACCAATATCTGACTGGGTGTTCTGCCTGTCAATGGAGGCTGGGGATCTGCGGCTCACTCCAAACCTGTGGTAATTCCCCCAAACAAAGGCAAAGACAACATCAGGAACCTCACCCACGAGGGGAAGGGAGTGCTGGGTGTAATGAACTAAATTCCAAAGACAGGTATTACTGGTTTTGGCTTACGTGTCTGTACTTGTATATGTATCCTTGCGCATGTGCACATAGGTACGGAAATGTGTATGTTATGGTCAATATACATCACTCTGCTGTATGAAAAGTATGCATGTTATTTATATAAACTGTTAACAGGGTCAGGAGCCATTAGGACCGAACTAGCCTAAGACATGTAGAGTAAGATACCCAAATCTTCTAGCCCTTGTGTAGCCAAGCTATTATGGTCAATATACATCACTCTGCTGTATGAAAAGTATGCATGTTATTTATATAAACTGTTAACAGGGTCAGGAGCCATTAGGACTGAACTAGCCTAAGACATGTAGAGTAAGATACCCAAATCTTCTAGCCCTTGTGTAGCCAAGCTCAGACTGTCACTGACAGCCACAGAAAAAATTTCACAATCTAAATGTTCTAGATATAGCTTTCATATTTTGGGGGTTTATTTCTCTTAATTTTGTAATTTACTAAATCACTAAGTCATTCATTCTAGGAACAAGTATTTTCTGAGCACTTGCTCAGTAGAAATTGCTTTCAAAATGTATACATTTTAAATTGCCTTTGGAAAGAACAATTTGGAAGTAGGTAAACTGGCATAAATAAAGGCAAATGTCTATTTCTGGAAAGAACATTTAGCTATTTAATGAGCCAGTTTTATTTTTCCCTGTGTAGAATAATAATATATGCTTAATTAAACATATGCCTTGATTAGCAATATCAGCAAAGTAAATACTGACTGAGCTCAAGAAATAGGGTCAGAGTATAAAATTCAAAAATTCATGTGGAAATTTACTAATTTATATATGGTTGTTTTTAGTGAAGCTATGAGTACTCTATACTATAAAAAAGACTAGCCAGGGTTTGAATCAATGGGTGCATGTGACGAGTGTCTTACTTCCCATTACAGACTGATAGGCACATGGGCAGAACCAGCAAGTGGTGTGTAGGAAGAGTGGAAGAGCAGGAGATGAGGAATAAGAAGACCTCAAGTTCCAACTCCACCACTTAATGTGACTGAACAAAGCCACTGAATCTCTGTCTCAATTCATGTGAAAAAAAAGCAATTCCATTACATGGATCCAAGGAGAAAAATCTATACAAAGTATCTGCAAAGTAGAAAAGGCTATAAAAATATTTATTTTAATAAAACTATTATTACATCATCGCCCCAGTTACTTTTGCACAAATGCTGTTCATTTATATACCCAACCACAAGGCCCACTCAACAGCTACCCTGCATACTGACGCAGCTATTATTAAAAACAAAGACCTTGGGCCGGCCCGGTGGCGCACTGGAGAGTGCGCCACTTGGGAGCGTGGCGGTGCTCCCGCCAAGGGTTCGGATCCCATGTGGAGACCGGTTCTGCTCACTGGTTGAGCGTGGTGCGGGCGCAACACCGAGGGTTGTGATCCCGTTGCCGGTCCCCGATGCGGGCGCGACACCGAGGGTTGTGATCCCGTTACCGGTCAGTAAAAAGGACAAAAAGGAAAAAAGGAAAAAAAAAAAAAAAAACAAAGACCTTGATTTAGGGAAAACTTCAGTGAAAGTGCATATAAAAAAATGATTCATAATTATGCTTTTTGCCATCTGCTCACCTCAGAAGAGTGAACATTCTCAAACTGACCCTAAGATCCTATTTCAAATCTGTACTAAATTAAGATTCTAAAAAAGGAATGAAGATGAAAGAAAGGGATTCTAATCCTGCTTTTACGTTTTGGTAGCAGCAGAAACTAAAGATAACTTTCTAAAGTTTTGAATTTAAGCTGAACGCTTTTCTGACTGTTTTTAAATAAACGATGAGGGAAGGCTCTCTTTAAAGAGTTGAAAGAAAAGCATCTTTACCCAGTGAACTTTTCCTGACTTTGCACATGCACATCCTCCATTACTGTGTGTCAGGGCTTTCGGGATGCAAAGATCCAGTCCTTGAGGAGCTCAGACAAAACATGTTCTCAATTTTACATTGTGCTTCTTTCTGAAGAGCTTAATTGTGCCTTTGTTTGGAGGAGCACTTAATAGTTTAAGAGTCACAGATTTGAAGGAGTTTCTAAGTAATCATTTGGCTGACACATGACACATGTGCAGTGACCAAGAACTCTGCCTTATGAGGCAGTCCGCTCATTTCTAGGGCAGGCCAGCAGCTCTGAAATACCTTCCTCACAATGGGCTGGAACATTTTCTCCACAACTGTCATTTACCAGTCTTGGTTTATTCCCTGGTCTAAGAGTGCTGGAAGAAAGCTACTGAGGCCTCCCCACTTTGACAATTCCCACCCTCATCATGCACATCCCAGTTACGTTTCTCACACATGGTCGCCAAGCTCATCATTCACCAGCCCCTCTCTTTGGACATGCCCGGCCTTGTTGGCACTCCTTAGTGTGTGGCCCAAAAATAAATTTCTAAGGAGGGTAGAACAGGCCCTGTGTCTTTTAAACAGTGTTGCTTTTTAACCCCTGTCATTCCCATCCTAAACTTGTACCCATATCTTTTTCCTCCATTCAAGTAGAGCAGATATTAGTAATTACTCTATTAAATTCCACCTCTCAGCTAATTTGGATAATCTTAACATCCTAACACCAGGGAGTGGGCAGGCACATGTCACACAGATGCAGACACTGAGCCCCTGCAGCAGAGGAAGGACGCCAGAGTGGCATGCGGCATTCACAGGCAATCACTGTGCACTGACCTACTGTTATGACATCATGTCTCGAGCTTTTCAAAGTTGAACATTAATAAGCTTGCAGCAGACTACAGGCACTCTGGCCTCACAATGTACTGCACTGTACAAATCCACTTCTACTGGGGTAAGGTGTAGAGTAGACATAATCATCTTTCCCTTGGCAAAGGTAGTTTGCAGGAGCAAACCTGGCCCATGAACAATGCATGTGAATTACATAGCGAACCATGTCTCCTGACTGAAACAAAGATTGCTTGGGATCTGGAGGAAAACACCATATCAACATTTTCTGTACAAGGTCACCCCAGGTCAGTAAGACATTATACAGTATAGTAAATAATCCCAGGTAACCTCACAAACAAGGGGAAAACCTTCAATACCATCTATGGTAGGTTTAGTTACTAAACATCGAGCTGAATAAACCACCTCACTGACGAAAATCAAACAGCATGGGCACTGGAGTCATGTTTTTAACATTAATATTCACCAAAACATTAATGTTTCAACTCATTATTATTATTATTTTTGGCAGCTGGCCAGAGTGGGGATCCGAACCCTTAACCTTAGCGTTATGACACCACGCTCTAACCAAATGAGCTAACCAACCAGCCCTCAACTTAGTTTTTTGGTATACATTTAAAATATATGATAGAAGAAAACAATGTTTTATTTTTTGTTAGCTTATTTATATTTTATTGCTGTACTAACAGTGAAGCTGCAGTGAATTCTTAGCTTTGAAATCAAACCAGGCCATTTAAAATCTACTGATTTAAACAAGAAATAATTAGTCGGGCATGTGGTACAGTACAATAACATGTAATTCATAAACCTTTTGCAGAAGTGCATGAGAAAGAGCTAAATTTTTTTTTCTAATTATCACTGAAGTAATTAAAATAAGAAAGGTGCATTTTAGACGGGCTACCAAGAAAGTCCTGGGGAGATAATGGGGTGGAAAAAGCATATTTTGTAGTGGTTTTATTACCTACTTTCTGCTAAGTCACTGAAGTAATTAAAATAAGAAAGGTGCATTTTAGACGGGCTACCAAGAAAGTCCTGGGGGAGATAATGGGGTGGAAAAAGCATATTTTGTAGTGGTTTTATTACCTACTTTCTGCTAACATAAACATTCAGCAACAACAAAAAAAATCATACATAATAACTGTAAAGACAAATACTGTAAATTAAAAATACCCATTATGAGGGTATTATTACTATGAAGGTAGTGAGCATGCTTAACTTTGTGATATGGTGAAATCTCAAGAAAGTAGCCAAATCATGTGTCCATTTGTTAAAAATATATTTGGGGAAAACACAGAAGGGAAACATCAGTTTTATAAACACCTCTCATTTGATTTTGAAATGGTTCAAGTTCTTGTCAAGTTCCTGAGCGAGAACTCCCAGCAGGAAGTCTTTGGTGGCTCTTTCACTCTTCCTCTGGGCAAAGACAGCCTGTGTGTGCCCTTTAATGTCTTGCTGCTAATTACTTACCAGCTTCAGACATTTCAATTTTCCCCCCTCTTAGTAGCCTCTAAAATCACATACATTTAGCTTTTTACTTTTTAAGTCTCGTGGAAAGCAAATAGTCACTTTTGGGCATTTAGTGTTTTCCAGAAAGATTTTTTTAAAAATTCACAGAAGACTTAAAGTGTAAAACAAATAATTTTAAGCTTTGGATGTAATGATCATTTCCCTCATGTTAATGGCAATACACACTCCAGTGAAAGTTCTGAGTTCACTTTGGAAGAAATATTAAGAAGTGACAAAATCTGTACTGTGAAACTAAACAAAATAGATAATGGAGAAACTGATGCAATTTGATTTCTCCACTGAGTTTTCTATAGAGACTAGAGAATGATAAACTTCCTAAGAAGTATCTTGAACCAGCCACCAAAACATTTTTTCTATCTAGAATATTAACTACATTTTCCCTTCCATTCACCTGTAAATTGATCAAGGCTGGCTGAATGGAAATCACGTTTCGTGTCTGTATACAGATGAAAGACAGTGATGTCAACTGGGACCACGCACAATGGGACAGACGGCATACCTACCCTTCGGGCATGGATTTTTGTCTGTAAGTGCCCCCCCCAGAGCCAGTCTCACTGGATGAAGACAGGATGCTAGGGGAGTTACGACATTGGGATCTTGCTAAAGCCATGGATGAGACCGTCACATAGATGTCCGAACCAGGAGACAGCCTGCATGTGCAAACCAAAAATATGAAGTCAACAATTCAGAGGGAAAATCCCAAGGCAATGCATGATGGATACTATCATATAAATGTGACAAAGGCAGCGACTTCATGGAGATAGTGAAAATGAAGCCAGCTGGAAGCCTGCAAAAGAAACCTCCTCATAAAACTGCTCCCTACGGGAACAGCTGGAACTGTCTTGGAGCGGGTGGAGGGGTGTCAAAAAATAACAGGGAAAAAAAGATCTAGAAAACAAGGATGCTTCCAAAATCTGCCAGAATTCAATTGGCAAAATTGCTAATGCAAGTTTCCTAGTGTGGCAGAGCAGAGGATAATGGAACCCAGGTGACGTGAACATGGCAATTAATTCCAGGCTCTTACACTAGCCCTCCCAAAGTATATGACCACAGTGAGACAGTACAATCTTTGTATGCTTTTTTGTTTTCCAATTTTAATACTCAAAGTCTGGGATAAATATTCATATTTTGCTATTTAGTATTTCTAATTTTGGTTGATAGTATCATGAAAAAAGTATTATAGAACTGTAGTTAACTGAATTTAATTAGAATTCCTGAATTTATACAAAATCACAGTAGAGGTATGCTCTACCTGGGCAACTAATGTATCTATTTGTAAAGTTATGGATCCTTCACCCTGCTGACTGGCTATCAAAGCAGAAACCAGAGCTTTGTGGTCAGGACAGACACATTTTCTCCTGTACCTTCACACTACTCTAGCAGGCAACAGGGCAACCAGTTATATTAATAAGTGATGCTGATAATTGTGACTAGGTGTAAACTGAACCTTAATAACAATGATATTTTATTTCAGAAGTAAATGCTGGCACTTGACTTTCGCAGTAGGACAAGTCATTTCCATTTTATAACTGAGGAAGTGAAATCTAAGTCATTTGTTCAAGGTCAAAATAAGCTAGGCCTTTTGATTCTAAGTCCACTGCACTCTATACTAAAATACTGCTGCCCCCTAGAGAAGGCTGGGTTTTGTGTTCTTAATAACATAGCTTGCAATGGGTCTGCACAGTTAGACAAATTTGCACATAAAGCTGTCTTAAATTCAAGTCAAAGTATGGAAGCCTTGGGACAGAGCCTGAATAAGGCAATGTCCTACAGAGAACCTTTGTACCTTCTGTACTAGGGCAGGATGGGATTTTAGGTACAGGCAGCTGACAGAAGGGACAAGAGAATCAAATTGAGATGCTTTCCTAATAGAAAAAGAATAAGGCTATATACTAAAATGTGTAACTCCCAAATTCATCCATGCCCAGGAACCAGATCTGGTTTGAGAGCCCAGATTTCTCTCCAGCTGTCTCCCAGACCTCTCACTGAACACCCTCACCAGAAATTCACATCAACGGGCCGGCCCGGTGGCGCACTGCTGCAGTGCGCCGCTTGGGAGCGCGATGGCGCTCCCGCCGAGGTTTCGGATCCCACATACAGACCGGTTCCCGCTTACTGGCTGAGCGAGGTGCGGGTGCAGCACTGAGGGTTGC